AAAAAAAAAAAAAAAAAAAAAAAAAAAAAAAAAAAAAAAAAAAAAAGAGACAGCTAGGTGTAGATTCGAGACCCCGCCTTCTTTCAGTGATTCACTCCGCATTAACCACTACCGTGGACTGCTCGACGCCGACGCTTCGTGTCGCGTGGCGTTACAAGCACGCATGTAGGTACCTGGTGATCTCTAACCGCCTCCAGAAACTCTTCCCGGTACTTGAACACTGGCAGACGCTTGCGGAGCGCCAGTATCTCCTCGTGAGCCGTCAGCTTCCTTCCCCCCGGGGCCCCCGGCGCAGCGCCCCCGCCCGGTGGGGCGTCGACATCTGTGCGCACGTGCGCGGTTTTTGGGAATTCTTTTTTCGTGCGGTGTTGCTGCTACTGTTGTCATTTCTGCTGCTGCTGCTGCTGCTGCTGCTGCTGCTGCCGCTACTGCAGCTGTGGAGTGCAACCCCTGCCCTCCCTCCACAAACCAGTACGCCGTACAATTATCCATGAAGGCACATGAACAACGTAAAACGAGTGGGCCGCCATCGGTTCTCGCTCCAACTGCAAGCCAGAGACACAAGTCAACCACTGCTGCCCAAGATCCTAACATCGCGTTCAACGTGTCTTGGGAGAAAAAAAAGAAGCGGCCCTTTCCAATGGATGCATCTACACGAGGGGGCTTGATACGTGGGCTATTCCAAAAAGAAGACTAGACAATGAGCCTTGGGCAATTGAACGGCTGTTCTCAAGCGTGGCGCGTGCTGTACATGACCATCAACTTCAGACATACGCACACCAAACGCCGCGACACATACGATCGTGCGCGTACTACAGATGAGCATCAACGTCAGGAAAACGCGCGCACGTCGAAGGCCGCAACACATAGAGGAAACATGGTGTCGGCAACATCCCCAGGGGCAAGGAACGGGGTCATGCAGCTGCTGTAACCATGTCCACGCCGAGGCACAAGTATACAGTATGCACTGCCGTCGGCGCGACGACTTGTCTCCGGTCGCATAAGAGAGTAAAGCAAAGCCAAAAACACGTGGTAAAAGGCAGTCAGCTACACTTACGGTGCTGCTGTACCTGCGGAGTCATCGCTGCTGTCACCGCCCTGGGAAGAATCTCTGTCCCCTCTCGGTCTCTTCCTCCCCTTCCGCCTGGAAGAACAGGAAGCAACCACATGCCGTACCAGGTATTCACAGACATGTAAAGAACAAAGATCAAGATAATTCTATTCAATCACCATCTATCACAATTTTTCACAGCAGGGACATACGTGTGCTTGTATCGTTCGCCAACATTCAATACCCTTCTTGTAGCGATTTTTCGTTTTGGGGAAGCCATACCCAGTCTTTTGGTGTCGGTCACATTTAAGATTTGATTGTGCGTCTTACGATATATTGTTTTGCAGAAGTAGATGAACGCTGCTGTTTCGCACGCCGTGGTAGGGGTTTAACAACTGTGAGCATGTTTTCAGGCCTCCGCCCCGAAAGCATCAAGACAAGGACGTGAATTTTTCGCCACACAGCTCCGAGGATGAAGTCGATTGCGCCTCAACATGACATTCAAACCGTGAACTGCTTCGAATACAAGTAACCCTTCACGGACATCCAACACCAGCAACACATTATTCCATGGGCAAGCCAGATCCGATGGATACCCAGCGCTGTGCCCGTCTGAGTTGAGGCTCACGTCAGCTTCTGCTGCAGCACCTCCTGGGAGACGAAGTCTATGCTGTCCTCAAAAACAAAGTCGTACTCGTCTTCCTTCTTCTTGCCCGTGCTCTTGAGCATCGCGGCGTGTCCCACCTGAACACAGGGGCACCGCCATTGGGATAGAGGGAGGGGGAGGAGAAACAGGATGAGGAAGTGAGCGTACTCTCAGAGTGACTTGTGAAGTTCTGCGAACGGGAAAGGCTTCTGGTAAGCTCTCGTCGGGAAAAGAATCCGATCGGCACAGCGATCGACAAACAACGGGCGACAGCACAAAAGCAACAGCGGGCACGGTACACATCAGTACCGACACCACCTGGCAACAGAGGCAATAGCAACAACGACCGAAGAGCACAAAGCCGCCGTCGAGAAGAAATTTATGTCTTCCTGCCTGTCTTCCTGCCTGTCTTCCTGCCTGCCTGCCTGTCTGTCTGTCTGTCTGTCTGTCTGTCTGTCTGTCTGTCTCGCTCTGTGTGTGTCTCTGACTTCCGTCTCTCTGTTTGACTCACTTGTTGCTCTTCCCAGAGATCCTGCTCCGTCTTCACCTCCCCCTCCACCTCCTGATACCTGTCAAAACCGCGCAACGGCGTAAAAAAACGGGGCGGAAAATGAGAGAGGAGGATCGACATAAGAGGCACGTCGGTGATGGGGCAGACTCCCGCCAAAACTGGGGGCAGTGCGCCGTAAGGCAGTACCGTGTATGACACAAGATACCACACCCCCCGGAATGACTTCCAAAACTTCATTACTCCACGAAGAGGATGTGGAAATGTGAGGATATGTTGTCGGAAAGCTCTCGACGAGACGTTTCCAACGCCGACACTTTCGGCACCGTCTCTGTTCTTCCTGCCGAGTAATCGAGCCCCGAAAATCGGACCAGGGGGTGTGATATCTTACGCAACCTGCGGTGGAGATGTCAATGGCACCACAAGAAAAAATGTCCTTTGCTTGTGCTTCAAATAGAAAAGCTGCCGTCCGGGGTCTCGACAGATCGAAATCTTCCACCGCAGTGCGCATGTCTCCCTTCACAACAACAAAAAAACTCCCTTCCCCCAACTGCATGGACGCACGACCCCCCCCCCCTCCGAAGAAAACAACACCCTCCTTCACGCACGCAGAGGACACCAACCCTGGCGCCCTACCATGCACACGCACACAGCGATCACGACGTCACACCCCACGCACACGGTGCTTCACGCTTGGTGATATTCTACCGTAGCCTGGTCCGATGAAAACGCAGCGTGAATGGCCCTTGCACGGCTGTGACCGGATACCCACCTCGCCGTGAGCGCGTCCTCCCTTCTCCGGCTGTCGATCCTCCCCTGCTCGTCCTCGTAGGCATCCGGGAGTTGGTAGGCGTCCGTCTTGGGGGCGTGCCTGTTGGGGTCCTTGGCTAGCTCCAGCACCTTCTTCGACACCTCTATCTTTTTTTTCTCCGCAGCGGTGAGCTCCACCCCTGTTAGTTAGCGTAAAAAAACAATCGGGGGGGGCCAAAACCAAGTCTTGAGAACGCCTTCGAAGGCATTTCTATCTGGTCATGAGACCCAAGGAAGCCTCGGCCAAAGCATCGGAACCAATACGCTTCTAGGCCGGAACAACCCCCCCCCCCCCCGCCGGAAATATATCATATACGTAGGTATATCTTACGATTCTACACTTTCCGGTTCCCAGCAGACGTCAGCTTGTTCAGCCTACCACAAGAACAACGACTTCGATCTCATGAGCCGTACTCAAGACATCGGCCACAACAGAGATCCGTACTCTCTGGTAGCTAGCTCACCCTCGTTGAGGAAGAGGCTCTCCTCGTCTTGAAGCTGCGCCTCCAACAGCTTCAGCTCCTTCTCCGCCCTCTTGGGCAGGTACATCTGGCGGCTAATCTCTCTCAACTCCTTCGTCGTCAGGTCCCTCTGCTCGCCCGACTCCGACGTCACCTTCCCTCTCGTCGCCAGCTCAGAGATCTGCGCAGTTCCGTGGTTCGACAAAAACGAAAGCCATGAGGTGGTGCCTGAATTTGGAAGTGTACTTCACCTGAGGGGACAGGTTGATATGGTGCCTGCTCTAGAAGAAGGCGTGTTTGTCCCAAGGATTTTAGACAAGCAAGACATAACGGGGGCAGGCCCACGAAAAGCCTGATTTGGGAGCAAGGGGGCGTGTTTCTTACAAGGGTACGGGTTCACACGGCGTCCAACTTTGCAGGAGACGCGTTTCTGTTCGGATGACAGCTTGATGCGCAAGCAACCGAGGGCTGACGCAACCCCCCTCTGCCTTGTGAAGCCTGTGGACACAGAAAGACATATTTGTAGAAGAGTTGCGGTACAATAGTTCTGCCGTGTCTTGACGCGCAGACGGGGACTTCGATAAACTATCCTAGAGTTCAACACGCGACTCTGTGCGGCCATCCAGGCCACAACGTGCGGAAGCGGCAACTACCAGCGACGATGAAATTGATATGACCAAGCGAGCATGAGGGTTGATGGGTTGGGGTGTTCTACGGTTTGCGGGGATAGGGGTAGGCTTTTCGGCTAGTCGTTCAACCACCCAGAGATCGACGACGGGATTCAAATAGCCGCAAAGTTGTTGACAAGGTCATACCACACGCGTAGCGACGGCAACAACAACAGCAACGCACCAAGCATGCAACGAAGCAATCCGTCCCGATAGACCCCCCCCCCCCGCCGCCCCCTGCAAGCAAAAACAAACTCCATAAAACCAAGCACCATGTGGCTTCTTCAATTGTAATTTTTGCCCACCACGACCAAACGACCGACCGACCGACCGACCGACCGACCGGGCAACATACCTGTGCCGGCGTCAAGCCCCCCAGCTCCATCTGTTTTGTCTTGCTCTTGTCCTTTTCCATCATCCTCTCCACCAGGGCGTCCCTCTCGTCGCGGTCGCGCTCCCGCTCCAGCTCCAGACGGTCCTCCTCCGTCACCTCCTACAACGTATGTACATGAGTAAATAGCGTAGCGGACACCAACACAGCGATTTGGCGGGAGTGTTGCGCCACTCGGTGGTTGGTTGGTTTCGTTCTTATTGCTGCTGCAAGGTTGGCGTGCTCGGTCTCTCAATGTGATGCCATGCAGCAGCAGCAGCAGCAGCGGTAGAGAGATTTGGACAAAGGGGTACACTCATACCCCAACTTGAAACCTACAGCGAGACTGGCCTGTCAAGTTCCGGTCGCTCCTCTGCCATTCTTAACTCTTGTTTTCCCTGATGTTCGGGCTCTTTGGTATTTTCGGATATGGACATCGAGAGCTCCGGCAAGCTTTGATTTGGCCGGAGAGTCAGGCTCTCCCTTTCTGTTGGGCTACAACAAGAGACCGTATCAAAAATCCATATACGGCTTGAAGCGTGGGAGTTTTCAGGTGAGCGGGCGCCGTCGTTCAACAGCCAAAAATGCAAAAACCTTTCAAACATTTCTGCTCTTCTTCCAAGTCTCAGGCGAGCGAGAACGCGGTCTAACAGACAGCACATAGACTATTCGTAACAACGCACATCCACGAAAAGCAACGCGCGCAAGTAAACGCACTCACCTTCTCAGGCTCCGGGCGAGCTCTCCTCGGCCGGATAACGGTGTCGTCCTCCGAAGACTCGCCGTCGTCCCCGCCCCCCCCACCCCGTCTCCTCCGCCGCCCCCCCCCCTTCTTGTTGCTATCTCGTCCTATCCCAGAAGAAGAGGCTTCGGCGGCAGCGGCGGCGGCCTTCTTTTCCCGCTTCCTTAACGCCTTTTTTTCGGCCCGTCGGTCTTCCTTCGCCTGACGTAAAATAGCACCGGGGGGGACGGGTACATATGTTTCGCCTGCCTTTGCTGTTAGGCCATTCACCACGCGTCCTCGAGAGGAGGATGGGGGATGGTGAACCGTGGGTCTTTTGATATGTGTCCATGCTCAACAACAGCTGAGTGTATCGCCTCGACCCTTGTAACCAAGGTGGTAGGAACCGAAGAAGTGCGCAGCTTTTTGGACCAAGGACTTGTCTGGCAAGCAAAACAAATCAGAGGCAGGGGCGGGGTGCGGGAATTTCCAAGCTTGGGGAGTGGCGCGCTTTGACAGCGATGGCGGGAAGCGGGGTTGTGCCGAGGCCTGGAGACATCGAGTTTACTATCTACGTAGCTGAGAGATCTACCGAAAAAAAAAAAACATCTACGGGTGTTGACAGTAGTGATCTAGTTCAAGCATGTGAGTGCTGAGGGGGGGTCACGAGGATAGGATGGCTCGAGCGGGGGGAGGGCAGAAGGCAGCGCCTCCCATCGCCATGATAAAGGTACGATGTTTGGGATCGATGTGAGGGGTGATACGACACCGCCACGGAAAAATACCCACAGAACCAACTTATCGTCACGTTGCGTTGGGGGCGTGCTTGTGACGAGGCGGCGACTGACAACCTACCCCCCCCCTCCCCAAACAACAAAATACAAACACAAACCGGTAAGCCATGCATAACTATTTCCGACGACCGAAACCACAGCCAAGACCAACGGCAGCGACTCACCTTGAGGCTAGAATAGCCCCCCCCACCGTCCTCCTCGTCGCTAGAGAGCAGGGCGTAGCTCTGGCTTTGCTTCAGCAGCTCCGCGTTCGTGGGCTGCCGCTGCTGCTGTTGCCGCTGCAGCGCGCGGCCGCGCCCCCCTGCCCCGCCCCCGGAGGCTCCAACCCTGTCGCCAAAATGGACGCAATGTGATGATTGTCCGCATTAGGACATAGGGACAGGTACATTCGAGCAACGTTTTACGAGTGCCGCGTAGCACATGCCATTGAAACGCCACAGCGAGCAGGGAGCGCGGGCACAGCATCGGAAAAGGAACGGACGAAGCCCATTAAGACCCTGCAAGACTTTGCAAGTCCTTCGTCCGACACCGGGGGAACCAGAAAGGGAGAGTCGTATCTTCACGAGAAACACTCCGCAGATACCAAGTAGTCGTCCAGCAGCAGCATCCATACACACCTCGATCTACAGGAGAAAACTCCACACACGCCAAGTCTGGTCTCATTGCCAGCATCTACACAAACATACATCGATCAACACGAGAAACACTCCACCACAGAGACACCAAGCACTCAGCAACGCACATGAGAATGTCAACAGACTAGCACATTTTCTTTAGTTCGGTGAGGTTGGCTGGGATGTTCGAGTCAAAAACACGTCAGCTGGATGACCTGTTCGAGCTTGGGAAACATCGCTGATAGCACTACTGGCGTGCTCGGATGAGCCCACTCCGGAGGCGCGCCGCCTTTCGCATACGTAAGTACCTGGCCATAAGTTCCGCCGCGAAGGCTCGCGAGGTGGCGTTCGCGGGCACGTCCAGGTCTGACAGTCCGGCCAACAATGCCGCGGCCCCCTTGCCGGACTTGGACGCCCGTCGCGCCAGGGCCACGACGAACTGCGCCGTGGAGCTCTCGCTGAAGCCGACCACGTCGTGGAGCTTGTCGGACACCCATTGCAGCAGCTCCCGATCGCCCATGCTTGATTTTTCGAAGATGGTGTTGTGTTGTACTGTAGGTGGATCCCAGTGTTTTTCGAGGGGGGGCGGGGGGGGGGGGGGGTT